GTTAAATACAGGTGCGTTGCACATCCATTCAGATGAACTGAAAAACAGCACAGATCGCTTGGCGGAGAGTGAAACTCTGATGCGCTCAGTCAGAGAGTGTTCGGCGAATGAAAATATATCTGAGCTAAATTTATACTTAGCCTCCAACTCACACACTGGCGAGTAAAATCTGAGAATTTATTAGCAATTGGCTAATATTAGACATCATTTAGTCGCCCAAAGTGAAGCTTTAGTCGCATATGCGAGTGATTTACTCGCAATGTAGAGGGTTGATACTTGTGTTATTCTGCTTGGCTTAAGTCAGTGAACTTGCACTGGGCTTTCCCCTGTTGTGTTTTAGTGTGGTTTAACTGACTGGATCCAAGCTCTATTATAGCACTATTAATGCTGGGATAACTACTGATCACATAAACACAGAGACAGCGGAATGTGCTTTAGACAGCAGAAAGTGCAGTCAGCTGCTTTGGACTAATGGTGTGGAATCCAAGAGAGAACAGACACACACGATAGCAACAGAACACAAACAGAACAGAGACAGACTGCAGGTGAAAGGACTGAAAGAGGAAGAAAAAGTCTGCCAGAGAATGCTTTAGGCATCAACATGCCTTTTTTTCTTGGCTGTTTATCTTCACAGTCCAACAGTTTACTCGATATCAAAGTAAGATTTCAGATTTGGAGTATTTTAGGGTTACATTGCTTGCTCACCAGTGGATCCTCTGCAGTGAATGGGTGCCATCAGAATGAGAGTTCAGACAGCTGATAAAAAGATCACAATAATCCACAAGTAATCCACGTGGCTCCAGTCCATCAGTTAACGTCTTGTGAAGTGAAACGCTGCTTGTTTGTAATAAACAAATTCATCATCAAGATGTTTTTATTTTCAAGTCCTCTTTCCATAATATTGCCTTCTCCAGTAAAAAAGTTGTCTTGTCTGAACCAGGAGAGAAATATGCACAGATCCATGGAAACAGTCTAAAACTGTTCTAGACAAATATGTTGGTGGATTTTAATGTGAGAGGAAAACAGGGGATGGCCTTTTTCATTGAGGAAGTGTTATTATAAATTATGGACTCGTATTTTGGTCAGAAACAATGGTTGTTTCTTACAAAGCTTTTAACTTTACAAGATATTAATTGATGGACTGGATTTCTTTGTGGTTTATTGTAGGGTGACCATACGTGCCATTTTCCCAGGACGCGTCCTGGCCAGGATTTCTATATTGCCTAAAATATTTGTGATGATTTTATCAACTGTTTGGCTCTCATTCACTGCAGAGGATCCAATGGTGAGCAAGTGATGTAATGCTAAATGTATCCATATCTTTTTCTGACAAAGAAACATTTACATCTTAGAAGGCCTGAGTAAATACTTATTTTCAGCAAATTTTCATTTTTGGGTGAACTCCTTTTTTTTTTAGAGGTCTAAAAATTGTATCTACTGTTCTACTGAAGTGACTGCGAGATCAGGCCTTAAACTTATTTTATTTTAGATAGTTTCCAAGGCTACATTTCTTATTATGAATAAAAATGACAAAACACACAACAAAATGACTAAAACTTTAACTAAAATTTAAATGAAAACTTTCATTAAACAAACATATCTATACCTATGATAAATATCTATACTTATAATAGTATATTTTAGTTACCTGAACATGTCTGTATTGTACAGGTAGGCTACGTTTAGCCTCCAGGCATGCAGAAGAAGAGAGGAAGTCCAACCGCCTCGCCTGCTTTCCAAAAGAGCCAGGTGTCTCTGTTTAAACTGTGCCTTTGCTGTTGAAAGGACTGTGACAGAAGGAAATCTTTGCCTTGAACCTCATACAATGGAGGCGAGAAAGGGCATTGAAATTCGACCACATTGTTAATTAGGCTACTCGAAATAAAAACGTTGTCTACATGAAACACAAACGGCTGTGCTTCTGTTTCACATACAGTAAATTATGAAAGTAAAAATGTCCTCACAATGTAGGAAAAACAGGAATCTGCTATGGAGAAAAAACTGCAGTTCAGACGGCTAAATTAACACATTAAGCGAAGTCTTAAAAAGAAACCTAAAGTCTTCTGTGTTGTTTAGGGATAGGGGATAGAAAATACCATTTGCGCAGTAGACTACAATAACAAAATACGTCAATGGAAAGTCATGTGTGCGTGATTATTAGAGATGAGATTACATTTGTGATTGTTTACTAAAATGTGTACCTACTGTTTCATAGTTTCAGGCATATGAATATATTTTGTAACATTTATAACCTTCTATGAAACACTTAAGAGGAAAACAGAACGTCAGTTGAACATCTTTCGGACACGAGATTCACCTCAGCCACTCTTGTGACTGTTGAAACGTTTACAAACAATCGTTGGCCATGTGGCGTTTTTAGAACTCTGGTACTTGTAGTCTCCTGTGCCTCTACCGTCATTCCTTCAGCCTGCATTGACGACTACATTTCCCAGAACTTCTGCGTCATCAGCTGATCGCCGCTTGTGTTTTTCGGATGTGATGATGGCAATAAAGCACCCAGGGGACCGTTTTTTGCCAGACGATCTTTTGGGCTCACTGCTGGAATAGAGATGACCGCCGACGGGTAGACAAGCACACTTTTCCTTGGCTGATTTTTGCATTTTAGATACTGACGAGAATCATAACAAACTCTTCACATTTTAAACCGGTAAATGTATGATTGTTATATTATGAAGTTTATTCTGTTCTATTCTATTCTATTCTATTCTGTTCTATTCAGTAACCGTTTTGTAGCTATGATAATTTAAAATATACGAGTATGAAACAGATCTTGTGATTTCATTTTAAAAATATGTATTTATAATGTATATATTTACATATGAGTGCCGCGCAAACTGCAAAAAAGATTATTTGTTCACTTTTATCTAAAATTCTTGATATCAAGGTAGGCTATCTGTTGTTAATAGTGAGGCATAACTGCGACACAAAAATTATGTCTGCCTTTTTGGGACTTTTGGCTAAGTATGCTATAAATATGTTTTTAATAACCGTTTATAAGTTAATGCCATTTGACTTAATAATTTCGCTATACCTGACATTATTCGCGATTTAGTGGTATAACAAATATATATATGATTATTTTGTCAGTCGACACGTGCTGGCAAGTCCTTTTTTGAAGTAGATTTTGTTGAGGTTCCCTAAGTTCTTTGTTTTGATCCACTTGTTGAATACGGAAGTGACCGCTAGAGGGCAGCAGGCCCAATGGGTTTAATAGGTAATGTGTGTCACGTTTGCTGGCAACATGGCAACACTTTGTTGACATGATACTGTGTGGTTGTTTGATTAGCTACTACTTCATGTTTTGTGCATTTAGCCTGAAAATCTGCATAAGCTTTAGTTGTTGTTTCAAGCATATTTTAATTTCTTAAAGCATGTTTTTATATTTTATGTAACACCACTTAAAGGCTACAAAAGCTATGACTCAGAAATGTGACTCTCTGTCATTTTATATAATTATAACAAGTTCATGAATTTCCTGATTAAAATAATGTTTCTCTTTTTAATTTCAGCTGAGGCACCATTTTAGTCTGTTGTCTACAAGGCCTTGGGCCTCATTGGTCTAAAAGCAATGGTACTTATTCTGGGCAGAAGACTGAACCGGGAGGACTCTGGAGTCCGTGAGTCCCCAGCAGTCAAGCGAAAGGTTCTGGAGATGGACAACAAGTCCCTCAGTAATCACGATGTGTTTGATTTCTCCTCCGGCCCGTGCCAC